TCGCATGGCCCTTACTACTTTACATGCTAGTTTTTCATTATCCATATGCTAGAAAAAATTTGTTCATCTACTCTAATAAATGAATGTTTGTTTTGTCATATGTCACACTCTCATTCAATTTGCCAAATGACATTTCGAAGTTATTTTAAATTAATTTATTTTCCACATCTCATTTTATGAGTTTTTCTATTTTAATAAATTTCACATAATACTTTAATTTAATAATTACAATAAATGTAGTAATAAACAAATATCAATTTCATTAATGGACTTACCTTTTTATTTCAAAATTGACAAATTAAAGCTTATTAGTTTCTTTTATTTTTTATTTAAATTTAAAAGATAAAAAAAATCAATTTTAATAATTCATTATTTTTCTTATTTTCTTATAAATCCAAAGTTCTTAAGTATTTAGACATCTATATTTAATTTTTTTAATTAACCAATGTAATACATAGGTCTTACACCTAATGACAGTATATATATAATATATATATATATATATATATATATATATATATATATATATATATATATTAGGTTCATGTGAAACGGCTTAATTTTGTGAGACCGTGAGACGCATTTTTTTATTTTTTTAAAATTTTTTTTAGTTAACTCAAGTTCCGAAAATAATATTTAAAAAAAGAATTTTTTGATTTTTCCATTTATTTTGCATTTGAAAATTATTTTTAGAATATGTACAGTGTAATATTCTATTTAGAATATTTCACGTATTTTTAAAAAAAAATAGTATTTTTTTTAATTTTTTTTAGTTAATTCAAATTCCGAAAATAATATTTAAAAACATAATTTTTAGAATTTTCTATTTGTTTTGCATTTTAAAATTATTTTTTAGAATATGTCAGTATAATATTCTATTTAAAATATTTCACGTATTTTTTCAAAAAAAAACGGGATTTTTTTTATTTTTTTTAAAAATTTTTTTAATTTTTTTAAATTTTTAATTTTTTTTTACTTAATTCAAGTTCCGAAAATAATATTTAAAAAAAGAATTTTTGGATTTTTCCATTTATTTTTCATTTTAAAATTATTTTTAGATTTGGTTTCACGGTCTCACAAAATTAGCATCGTCTCAAATGAACCTGAACCTATATATATATTATATATATATATATATATATATATATATATATATATATATATATATATATATATATATATATATATATATATATAAAAGTCAATGCATGAAGTGCAATTTCAATCCCTCAACTTTATATAATCCGTCACTTGTAACCCTTTTTTGTTTTGTAAAATAATATTTTCTGTCCCTTCACTTTTAAAAATATCGTTTTCACCGCCTTCACTTTCCACTTTGTAAAATATCACTTTCATCCTTTGTTTTCTAAACATTTTTCTTTATCTCGTAGTATATATAATACGATATTCCTGCTTCTACTTTGCAAGATGTATTTTCCATCCGCTCTATTTTAAAAACAATTAGTTAATGCGTGAAATACAATTGAAATCCCTCAACTTTATATAATCCACCACTTTTAACCCTTCTATTTTGTAAAATGATATTTTCCATCCCTTTACTTTTGAAAATATCACTTTTACCTCTCCACTTTCAACTTTATAAAATATCACTTTCATCCTTTCATTTTCTAAACTTTTGTGTTTATCTTGTAGTGTGTGTGTGTGTGTGTGTGTATATATATATATATATATATATATATATATATATATATAATAGTATTTTCCCTCCTCTACCCTGTAAAATATATGTTCCACCCCTGTTTTTTTAATGTTAGATTGACCATCTCCATTTTAAACTTTGTAATTCAGTTCTCCATCTTAATACACAACAAAAACACATAAAAATTAGGGTAAATTGTAGGTTCAATTACCAATCTCTAAATATTATTAAAAGGTAACCCTTAATTCACTAATGAAACAATCATGACCCTTGATTGTATTTCAATCATATGATTTTCACCCTTAGATCAAATTGATGACATCATCTTCTCCAAATAGAATTCATACATTTAATTATAAAATCTTTAAATTTAGAAATTATATTTGAAACACAATTACATTTAATTATAGAATCTTTAAGAATCTATTCATACTTTCTAAAATATAATTCACAATTCGAGTGTAATTACATTTAATTATAGAATCTTTAAAATCAGCAATTATGATATCAATTAAAGCATATCATTCTATTTATATATGACTTATCAATTTCTCCATAAATCAGGCCAAAAAGATGAATAGTCGCCCATCTTTTTCCTCTATTTTTTTCTCTTAAACCATAATTCTCTAATCCTCTTTGTCCTCATGTCAATGGTTGTGCTTTAGTTGATGTTTTGTGTGTTCATAACATAATGTAACACCATAAAGTGGGTTCTTTTTTTCTCATGTATACTTAGAATTTGTGTATTGCCTTTTCCTTACATCTCCGATTATCACATCTCTGTTTTGGTTTCACACAAATCTCTAATAAATGAAGCAAGCATCACCTTCAAGACATCTTTTGAAAATCTATGTCATCATTAATCCTAATTAATATTGTTCATAGTTTAACTCACTTATTTATAATTTTTAGCTTCAAAATTCAAACTTGTTTAGTTTTTTCTTAAAAAAAACCTCATTAATTAAGCATATCAATAATTATGTTATATATATATATATATGTATATATATATATATATATATATATATATATATATTAAAACAAAAATATTATGATATCATTTTAAACTATTTGGGTCATTGATTGTATTTCAATCTTATGTTTTCCCTAAATGGAATGTATTTAATTCCAATAAAAGTTTTCCAATTGTCAAACAAAATTAACTTTAATCCATTGAAATGGAATGTATTTAATCCATATAAAAACTTCCAATGTTTTATATCTTGAATTTTCGTTTATAAAGATTTTAAAATGGTCAACTTTAAAAACATATTCCTAAAACCATTTCAATTAAGGCATTAAATATCAACCATTAATATAAATCTATTTATATTAGCAAACCATCATTCTTATTGCTTATAACTTTGATCATCATTCTCCGTTTCAAAACTTCGTTGTTGTGCACAAGAAGGTCAGTACCTTCTTTCGCTTTTTTATATTTTCAAATAAATAGGAAAAGACATTACATACCTTTAATCCAGAAAAAAAATTGTACTTTGATAGAAACCAGTTAAAACACAACATAGCAAAGTATTTTGATAGAATGACAAATGCACCCTACCCATTTTCCTATTCATGGTAATCAATTTTTTTGCGTATTCGTTTAGTATGATACTTCCATTTTTATCCGAAGGGTAAATCATTAATTTAGTATATATAATGTTCATTAGAAGTGTAAATCAGTAATTTAATTTAAACATTGATCAGATCATGAGCCGCTACTATTTTTGTTTGTTTGATTATCTCAACCTGATTACTGTTTATGATTGTATATAATATCTTAAATTGTTGGCTGAATTACAATGATTTTTTAAACTAATACCCTCATCTAACTTTAAAGGATCATTTTTCAACTTTGATGCCATGTAACTGAGTTTTGGCTAAAAATTTCAATTTTGTCGACATATAACATGATATTAGATATTTGGGCAATCAGGTTTTCTTCGGTTCTTAAATTATTTTGCAGAAAGCGGTCCAACTTAGGTCTCATGTCTCTTTTAGCGTATGCATTGAGTTTAATACTAACTCAATAGTTTCTTGTCTATATTTCTTTTAAAATAAATTTAAATCTTGATTTATGCAAGTCATTAAAGGTGCAAGAAGTGCGAAGTATTAAATATAGGATGATCATGACTAGATCAAGCCAAAATAAAACTTTAAAGTAATAAATCTTAAATTCAATAGATAAGCACTTGTAATGTAGAATATATATTATACCATCCAAATAAATAACCAAAACTGACATCATCCCCAAATAAATTGCATTTTAACTAACATCAATACATTATGATTATAGTGTTGATTTTTAATTATACATTATAGAGAGTCGGTTAATATATAGTCAGTATTTTTATATTTGTATCGGTTTTGAACTACAAAAAGTATATTCAAATAATAAAAATGAAATTGAGCATATACGATGGTAATAATGCAAAACTAACCTTCAAATTTGGTCTGATATAAAAAAATAGTCTAAAAGCTATTTATAAAAGAAACAAGAAATAACAACGAACTTTCAAAAAGAAATGAGAAATTGCAACGAACTTTTCAAAACTATCAAGAATTTATAATATAGGATGATAATAATGCTAAAAAAACATCAACTTTGGTCTAATGCAAAAAAAAAAAAAAAATTATATGAAAATAGGATTGCAGTAATACTAAAAGAACCTATATGTTTTTTATCTGATTCAAAAATGGCCGAAACATACTTCTAAATCTGCAAGAAATAGCAATGAACTTTT